ATGATGAGCCAAAAATAGTCGACCACGTTATGTTGGCCGAAAGCACCGTTCATGACGAAAACTTGTTTCAAATTGCCTGTGGTTAAAATCATCAGGACTCCTGACCTACCACATGATGTGACCTCATTGCCTTTTATCGGAACACGGCTAACCAAGAACAAACAAACAGCTGGTGACCCTGTGAATTAAAACCAAAGTGATGCCATCGAAGCTACTTAAAATGACTGGAACAACCATACGGCCTTCATTGATGTTCATTGTAGGCACACGGCTGATGAACATGCCCTGATGAATGAAAAGAGCCGACATTAACAATTAGTAATTGTTATGACCCGATCTTGTTGAATTTCCGAGGGATGGGTGCGGGAGCCATGTTTTGAGTGACAAAAATTCAGAGCAACCGCAAAAGTAACGTGAAAGTAATAAATACAAAAAAAAAAAAGAGCAATAACGTTATATACTGTCAACGACTTGAGGTTTCCCACTCATTTTAAGACGGAGCCTTCATAGGATGACGTTTGGCAAAGCATGTGAATTTTCGGTACAAAATAATTTGCTCGTGCACAGGAGATGTTGTAAACCTTTCCACGTGTCTTAATATTTGCCAATGAAAGAGAAAACCTTCTTCCCTTTCTGGAGCTGGTCCTCCTCGTCAACCTCAAACAACCCTGTAATTAGATTCTGATTTTGGGGGCTGACAAAAACGTTGTAGCAATGTCTTGGTTGATACAAGACCTAACAAGCTGGCTTCAACCAGGCAAAACACTGTTTTCTTCTTTACCAGACAGGCTACAACTTCGATGGTGTCTAAATAGAACCAATTACCTCCGCCAAGGTGTGAAAAGCTGGAGGCTTGTTCCCTTTTTAGCTACCTTGAAGATACAGGGACATCGGTTACTACAGTGGACAGCTTATCGCGTTTATCAGGTTACAGGGTGCATGAAAAGCTTAATATGACCGTTTCTAAATGTGTGAGTGCACGTGTCTAAGTTTTCCATGCTTCAATACTTTCTGCGCAATTTGTTGTTGTCTAAAAAGGGCTGAAACGTTGAACAGTTGGATGTCGTTGACGTTGGGCATGTGCATTCAAAAGATGAGAGAATGTCAATGTCGGTCAACCTGCAAAGGTTATTGTGCATTTTTGGGCTATTCCTGAAATTTCACTTTCAACTTTTGTAAGTTAGTGTATTAAGATATGCCTTGCATCGTCTTGGCTTTGGTGGCGGGGGGGGAAAAAAAGCTTGCTGTGAGTGGTAGTTCAGTGCCCGCCTACAGGACACGAATGGAACTGCATGACCCAGAAACCCGAATTTCCAATCAAACATGCCCAACATTGATTCCACTACTGAGTGGCTGCATTCTAGTTGTTTTTCACACTCAGTGTGTTATGAAAGGATCAGAACATAAAGTCACAGGTGCAAGTCCTGACTCATCCTTCCTGACTCATTCTAATAACAGCCAGCGCTCATAAGGGACAGACGACTTGCTGTTTGTTTTGAAGTATGAGGAACCCTGCGACAATGCCCGATTAAAGAAAGTAGGACAGGAAGTAGTCTGGCATCAACTGTGCTTTAAAAAAAAAAAACTACTTTGTTTTGTATTCTGCTCCTACCCGCGGCCTAGCTGGTTCTAGTTGCGGAGTGCTGACTTGTGCAAGCTTCTGCAGAGAACAAAGTTCACCACAAAACAAAGCACATTTGCTTTTATGACCACCTTGAGAGTTTACAGCCACCGATGCTGTGAGAATAACTTGCTTTGGAAGAGATTTAGACTGGAGGCGCCATCCCCTTTAATAGAATCTGGCAGGTTCAGACACTTTTAGGGCACAAGTGTGGTGAGCACCATCTTGCGACTTGATGCTTTGATGTATTTGTTATGCTACATCCTATCGGAGCATATTGACTGTGTCATTGTCGAGGTTATTGAAAAATACCTGCAATGACCATGTCAGCGCTAATACAGAGCAGATGACAGATGGATGATAAGAGAATTTGAGTTCCCCAAAACCTTTTGAAACTTGCAAGATTAAAGGCAAGGGGGGAAAAAAAAGTAGGTCATTGAAAGTAACACATCCAGCTGGCCATTAATAACACATTTTTGCACTAGTAGCCAAAGGTTCATTCATAGCATGGGACTCAAACAAGGGCTGGATTGTCTTTTCTGAAAACACTCAAGACAATTTCAATCGTGAGCTGTCCTTGCTGTCTACACGACGGAGGAGACAACTTGTTATTTTTCCGATGGTGGATGCATTTAGCTGAATCAGCGAGTTGACTTTCTTACCTTGACACTGAAATGATCTGATATTAGTGGACTACTTGTCATGTTCACTTAGCTCATCTATATGATCGCATGCAGATCACTTGGCATGATCAAGCGCACATCAGGCATCACCTCTAAAGGTTTATTCATCATTTCCACTTCAGAGGATTTTCAATCTGATAAAATTAGGCCACAGATATCACTTTTGCCGTATGTGGATATAGATTTAAGCATTTGGCTTCAATTATGGTCATTAGTCCTGTATGCCATAGTATAATATGCTGGCTCACAAACGTACACTGTAAAATTCTCTGGCTTTATAAAACATAAAATTTCGTGGGGGATTTTGTTTGGTTTTTTTTTTTTCCAGTTTTCTTCATCAAGGATGAACGTGCCATGTAGCGAAAATCCTGAGATAACCCTTAAGTCACACTTGGAATCGTGGCCAAACATACGATCTGCGTCTGGACGTTTGGCCTGAAAAGAAAGACTTCTTCATCACTGTTTGATGTGAGAATGAGATAAAGATCAAACTGGAAACTCAATGAAACGTGCCATTTTCGAAGGGAAGGCATCAACTTTGTAAAAGCCTTAATTTGGCAGCTAACATACGATACACGTGGCAAGTCACAATAAATGGTGATTAACCCTTTCATGCACCCTGTAACCGGATGACATGAGAAGCTGTGACCACAGTACCGCTGTCCCCGAAAGGGTTAAAAACGGGACAAAGCACTTCCTTCTGGTTCAGTACACCTCTGCACAGAGATGGCCATATCGGATGTCTAGGCTTAGTTTGTGTTTACACGAATCATATCATACACAGCAGGGGTGTCAAGCTCATTTTTGTCGCGGGCCACATTGTAGTTACGGTTTCCCTTGGAGGGCCGTTATGAATTTTGGGAAACCATATACATGTTTAATCCCCTCCACATATTACATACACAGTGCACAACAAATTGATGGAAAACTAGTTTCAAAATCAGAAGTCAAGAATAATGACTGTTATTGTGGATTACATGTGACAATTTAAAATTTTTAGTTCAGACTTTAGCACGCATCATCGAACTTGATATGCTTGATTGGCTTTCGCGGGCCACATAAAATGACGTGGCGGGCCAGATCTGGCCCCCGGGCCTTGACTTTGACACCTGTGATATACAGTTTGTATAAATAAATGATATGCACCTATTTAACGTTTGTCTTAAGAAGCCAGCAATCAAGAAAACAACATTTCAAGCAAATGAGGGTTCAAACTGTCTTGTCATTAGCCCGTAGTTATCGCTGCTTACACAGGAAGTCTCACAACCTGTCTTCCAGTTTGGTTAAGTGACTTAAGTCCGATTACTAAAAGAATTATTACAAATGTAAATTACCCATGTGATTCATCTGCTATCATTTTTGGAGTGATTTTTCAAAGTCCAACTGTATTTTAACAGTGACTACACAATCCTGCGGGAAGATGGGGTGCAAAGTGCTGGCAAAAGGAGAAAATGAAAGGAGGGGCTGGTTGGTGTTGTATTTGGTAGAACAACTCATTGTCTTTTGTGGGTTTGGCTTTGCAAAATGTACAACAGCTGGTCATGATGGGATTATTTAGAAAGGTCAGAAGTAATTTGGTTGAAGCCTGCTCGTAGTAAAACACGTTGGAAAAGTCATGACAGGGCATGACACGCTGCGATCTACTTATCCTCCTATTACAGACTACTTATCGTCTTTCCTGGGCCTTGCTTTGTGAAATGTAGAACAGATGCTCATGATGGGATTATTTCGCAAAATCAAGATTGACTGGGTTGAGGGTCGTTTGCAGCCAGACATGGTGGAATAGTCACAACAGTGCATGACATCCCTGCAATACCGTCGCGGAGGCAAAGAAACTCCCTCAAACTCCCTCTTTGGTCTAACGTCTTTCTCACAGGCAACCTCTCAAATACAGACGATCCTAAATTGGTAGTGATTTTGGTACAATGAAAGTACTAAGCCCAAAAATAATTGCTATCATTGCAATGGAATAGTCTGTTCAACGTCCAAGACAGTGTCCTGATTTCAACCGAAAAGAAGATGCTTTTCACTGACTGAAGACAGAAACTGAAGGTGGACGTAGTGAAAGTCTGCCAAAACATCTACAGGGAGGAAACTTGGATTTTGGTCATTTCCATGTGCTCCTGACATTAGGCAGAGCCTTTTTCCTCCACGTAACAAAAATAATGGTTATGTTTTAAACTATGTCAATTTAGGTACGTTGTATAAACTGGGTGGTTACCTCAAAATGGTGGTTGTGATTTTTCTCAATCATATATTGGCTGATTTGATATTGCTGCGTTTGCATCGTAGCTTGTACTCTCCTCGTCCCTGTAGTGTTGAAACTTGAGTCACTTGTTTGTACAAAATACAACATCGCTAATCATGATTGAACAATGCTGAGCCTGATGAAAATTTCTCAGGGGAAAATGCACAAGAAGCACAATGTGCGTAATCTAATGTGGAAATGAAAATGGAAAAGTCATTACCCCAGCAAGCACTTTTCCATTTTTCCTAATACCTAAATAGCGCCGAGACTCCCCGAAGATTAATTGGAAAGAATTTTACATGATGTTGCCATTGATGCCCTGTTGGGTTGTACTTAAGCTTAATGACGTTGCATCATATCAGCTCTTGAATCCTGTCTGCAAGAGTCACGGGAGCACGAAGAGAACTATTTCTGCTTCAGTATAGACGTGGTTCTGTTGGAAGCATACCTCTTTTAGGAGTGCGTAGGAGCGTTGCAATGAGGGAAGTTCGATGGCAGGCTGGAAAAGGCGAAGTTTGGAGTCGATGGCAATCAGCTGCTGCAGGTCAGACGTCTCCGGGGTGTAACCCTGGCTTGCCGAAACAGGCACGGCCCACATGTCCTCCTGGAAGACGCGCATCAGTTGACTAAGTCATAGACCGTCGGGATTGGCCTCAATTATTTTGTGACAACCTCAACGAGAGATGCTCAATATTGCATATTTGTCACTTGGTAACAAGGATGAGATAGTGGGTAACGCCTATCCTCACAGCATTGCCAACTGAACGGTCTAATGCAGAATCAACTGCCCCTGGAGAGGGAAAGCGGTGGGAAGAGTGATGAGGTCACTGGCGTTAAGAGGTGAGACAAGATCTAGATCATAATTGCATGATGCAACTGTTGCTCTGATTAGTGAGGAAAGTGTGATCGACAGATGTCAGAATACATTTTGTCGTTTACAGAGAATACAAACTAGTGTGGTTCGTTAAGTTCCACTTTAAACATGTCAAAAGGAACCCAAATTGGGTGAAATAGCTAACCAAAAGGGACCGAGCCAATACTGGATTATTTTATACCCAGCACATTAGTTTGAGGATTTGACCGAGCATGATGGGTCAATATTTTAAAACACGGTGTCAGAACCCATAATGATGAGTTAAAATTCACAAGAAACGGGTTATGAGTCACTTGATTGATAAGTTTGGTACAGTTTTTACACCGGATGCCTTCCTAATGAAACCCACACATTTTTTTTTAAACTAGGTTTGGGATCGACAGCGGCTGGGAAACAGCATAGGCCGAAAAATGTCTTGCTTCTGGACCCAACTGGATGTTATCATTTGCCCTGACTGGGACAATGTACTGGAACAGCATGTCTTTGAAGATTGTCAATTATTCAGTCCAACAAGTGAGCCATTTTTAAAAAATGTGGAGCTTGGAGAGGTCTGCGCTTAACTGAGTGTTATTCTCATTGCAGCATAGATACAAAGATGAACCTAAATGGGATGTATACGAAGAGACTTTGCAGGGCTGATTAACAGAGGTAGTGCCCCAGTCAAGCAAGTGCTGAGTGCGTCCTGCTCTGCACCTCAAATCGACACCTCCTTTTTATCTGGCATCTGTAAAGATTACATTTACGTTAGAGTTCAAAGAGGAAAAAAGTTCCCATCTGGTTTATTTATGTGTTAGAATAGTACGTACATAATTCCTCCCATATTGCAAAGACAACTTGTGGTGACATGTCTACATCGGTTCCAATGATTATGGACTGGTAAATGCATTGCCTTAGTTTAACAGATATAAATAACATTGTGAGAAGTGTAAATGGCAAACAGAGCAGGAACGTCGAGTTCATGTGTTCCATTGGATTCTACGCAGAAGTGGAACTCAGTCCTTGAACAGGACTCACTGCCAAAGTCCCAGTGACATAAATAATGGTTTTGTGCCGTCATGATCATTCGCAATAGCATGCTATGCAATAACAGGAAGTCATCTAGCCAGTAAAATATGGAAATCTGAGCAACTGCATTCCCATCAATTCGGTAGCTGCCACTACAACCACTGTGGTATTTGTTAAAAAAATTAGAGGTCATAAATAAAGTACCATGGTATCGGGAAAAATTTGGAGGCCTCCCATGTATGCAAAGCTGTTGGGAGTCAAGCCAAAAGGAAACGTATGTGAAAGATAATGCTTCCCAACAGGCCTAACAGCTGCCAAAAAGTGCTATTTGGGAAAAACAAACGAATCAAGATAAAGACGTAGAGATGGTAGAAACTGTGGAGTCTTGCTGTGAGACGCCTACTGCTCAACTATCTGCCCTTCAGTTTCAGACTTGGAGCTCAGATGGCACACTGTCCCTTATTTATATGTGCCAAAATCCATCTTCCCATTTGTGAACGATTCTGCCTTCCAAATTTCAAAGACACAGACCGAAGAATCTTCATGCAAATGTGCCAACAATAGAAATCGTACCACGTGGCTTCTCGTGAACTGCATCTGGCTCATGTGTGCGGCTTTGGGTAGTTGAGGATGGTCTGCCCAGAGGCCCTCTCAGTGGCCAAGTAGACCTCAAAACATGCGTAGCGGTAAGCATTAGTCCATGTGCTTAGCTGTAAAATGCAGACACGACTGTGACCATGATAAGGGCCCCGGTTCAACTATGTGAGTGAGAGCGACTATTTGATAGTGGGAACATATTTTGGTTGCCATAAAATACAAAAATATCTTGCAGAATGTTGATAGCAGACACGGTTAAATGGAATCACCACCTGCTAAGATGCGACTCCAAAAGATCTCAGACAGGAGGAAGAAGTATTCAAGAATTTGCAAAAGTCATATGTTGCCTGTTCTGCGCTCCCATGGCAGCTTACCTCGTTGTCTGTGCCTCTGGCACTGTTCTCTTCCTCTTCATCTATGTCTCGCAAGAGCTCAGTCAGACGCTCTTCCTCTGCCTGCGTCAATAGCACTTGGCCTCCTCTGCCCCTGACAAGCTAGTGAAGCACACAACGGCAGGAAAGACAAAGACCTTGACTGCAGACGGCTGTGTGTTTGCAAATGAAGAAAAACAAGTAACAGCAAAACACAAAAAAAAACCCCAAAAATGTCTTTCACCAGATGTTACCCAAAATCAAATGCACACCTGTCCAATTCAGGGCAAACCCAAATCACAGATATTTTGACGCGGGTGTTATTTAAAAACAAGAATCTGTGCGACAAATAACAATTATCGTATCAAGTTTGAATGTTGATTTAAAATTTGAACTTTGGCCATTTTATGGCAAATGGTTTTGGTTTTGATGGAGAGACAGATTAAATTGATGGAGACAGATAGGCAATGGACCAGGGATGTCCAAACTACAGCGCGGGGGTCATTTTTGGCACACAATTCGGTTTTTAGTGACCAGCAGACAAAAAAAAATTGGGGATGGAAAAAAAAAACCTTTCCACATCGCCCACAACTCTATTGGGTGTGGGTGTTGAAAAGTTAGGGAGTTGCAACACCAACATCCCTCAACTACTGCAACTGCTGTAAATCTCACTTTATTTTCTCCAGACATTTTTTTTGTTCTTGGAGCATAGTAGTGACCAACCTAAAATGTTAGGGGCGGAAGTAGATCATTTAGGGGTGCGCTTGAATCACAAATTGACTTGCAAAGTAAATATTCACATTTGCACTCAATTTCACTATATGATTGACAAATGGGTGAAATGTGGAGCAAAAGTTAGCCAGCAGAAAAAACATATTTTTCGAATTACCGGTACAAAAAAAATCACACCACACATGCGCGAAAATTAAATCGCCCAGTGTAAAATGTTCAGGGGCAAAATGCCACCTTTAGCGGCAGTTTGGAGCGATGCTCATGAATAAAGAGATTTCAGTTTCAGAAACAGAAATATTTTCCTTCACTTTGAAAATATCACATTAATGATGAATTAAGATCCTGAAGTAGATTCTGCTTTAAAAATGGTCACCTTATTACAGATCAGTATTGTTTTGGTTCCGAATTTGAAGGTCTGTATGTATAAGAGTTAATTTTCATTTTTTGTAGTGATTTTATATATATATATATATATATATATAAAATCACTACAAAAAATGAAAATTAACTCTTATACATAATTGCTTGATTGATTGGTTTTAGCAGATTCAAAAAAAGTCAGAGAATGTCAAAGTAGCTTTTGCTTTTTGTGTATGTGGCCCTCGGATGGAAAAGTTGGGATGCCCCTGCAGTAGACAGATTGAGGGACAGACAGAACAACAGCCCTAACGACAGATCAGTCAGTCGACTGACAAAGACTCAAAAGGACGGACAGACATATCAAATAATGTTCAGTCTCATCGAAGGGACTCCAATTATTCTTTCATTTTTCTCCACGGAACACTCGCAAATTCAGCATATGTTTCTCACTCGGCCTAGTCAGTCAAGTCAGACTGAGAAAAACAAACAGTGAAGAGATGTGCTCCAAGTCCTGAGAATATTCCTGGAACTGCCCATGGCCTCACATGAACTTCGACATACCTCAATATTTCTCTTGACAAAGTTCTTCTGTCTCTTCTTGCCCTTGGTGGCGTCACTGTGGCTCCCGTCGTCCGGCTCCTCGCGCACAGACTCGGCTCCTTCGATCATGTCGTCTGCTCTCTCTTCACCTGTCGGATGAGAATGTACTTGAGATGCCACGGGGAAAAATATGAAAAGGAGATGTTCTTGCTGTCGAGTAGCAAGGTAAAGACATTTCCCTTGTCATATTTTTTTTTTTTTGACTTCTTCCAAAATAAAAACTATGTACGAACTTCTACCAGTAGCTGTGCAATACAGTATATCAAAGTGACAGATGTGTTTTTAAAACACTGTGGTGCTATTAGTCTGCGGGAATAGTTTCGGGGAAAAAATAAAAGGAGTTTACTAAGCTTATGGTGCCATCTAGTGCGCGTTTGTCTCCTTCCATTACAGCTTCCACCATGTAAAGGCATCTGTGTCTCCTTTCAGGGATATGCACAGACTTACTCTGTAATATTTGTTGTAGTCTTCCATCCATTTCAACGTCATCTGTCTGAGTCTGAAACAGTGACTGAATGTCCTCTCTCTCTAGGGAGCCTACAAGAAACACAAATTTGGAATGTGACATTTCACATGATTGGTTATTATTGGTTATTGCTTACCAATCGGTGCTTCCAAAGCCCAAAACAGCCTTGCGTTCATGGCTTCGTGGCTGCATCCAGAGTAGCCCTCAGGTAAGCTCTCCTTTGAAAAATACACACTTTTACTCTGTTACATTAATTGAAGTCAACCGCCTTGCGTTCATGGCTTCGTGGCTGCATCCAGAGTGGCCCTCAGGTAAGCTCTCCTTTGAAAAATACAGAACACTTTTACTCGCTTACATTAATTGAAGTCAACTTTTGGAAAGATTGTATTTGTCAGAAAAGTTTTAATGTATCCTATAGTTTTTTTTTTTCCATTTACTTTAGATTTTAGAGATTTTGTATTCCGTTACATTGAACTATGTACATTCCACTCTCTTCTTTACTTTTTCATCTATTCGTTACTTTAGATTTTAGAGATTTTGTATTCCGTTACACTGAACTACTTACATTCCACTCTCTACTTTTCTTTACTTTTTCATCTATTCAACTATTATTGAGCGATAGGTTTGTTTTTGTCAGAGAGACGTCTAGCTGTCACATAACACTGTTTCACCAATCCCAACATAACCACTCTCAATGTTTGACTCCAACAGAATCAGGCAATCACATGACCACACACAAAGTCTCTGCAAGACCACACTGAAGACAAGTTCTTAAAGTGACACATGAAACAACAAAGGCTTTGCTGTCATCTGTGTCATTTCAGCCTTTAAATGACACCTCGAAAAACGCGTTGCAGATTTCTACATTATCTGCCAGTTTAACCTACAGTGCTTATTCACAAGTGCAAACAAAAAAAGTTCATTTAACACTCATTCTACAAGTAAATGTATACTCTTAATTGACTACAAATTTTGGCCACTCTGTTTAAATGACACCTCGAAAAACGCGTTGCAGATTTCTGCATATCTGCCAGTTTAACCTATAGTGCTTATTCACAAGTGCAAACAAAAAAAGTTCAATTAACACTCATTCTACAAGTAAATGTATACTTTTAATTGACTACAAATTTTGGCCACTCTGGCAAGAACACCATGAAACAGAACAACATGCAAATGTTTTTGTTAGCTGCTGTTTTTTTTTTTTTTTTTTTTTTTTTACCATTAGCTCTTGCCAGAGTTCAGCTTGGCATTGTTTCCTTTGACGCTTGGCTTCTTTTTCTCTGCACATGCATAGAGACAGTAGTTCATCAAGCCTCCTCATCTCCTCAATTGCCCTCTGCAGTTTTGGATCTTGCTTCTCTTCATCAGTTGCATTAATATCATATGACCCTAAAAGGGATATGCATATACAGCATTATAATTGACTTCACCTGCAAACTTGCACTTCAGCATTCACAAATTTGTCCATTCGATATTTTTTCAGAAGCTTATCCATGGATGTTTCACTGAAAAGCTCACCTACTCTGTTTTAGCATTTGTGGCACCATATTCAAGAAGTGAGACTGTAATTACTGCCAAAGGTGCATCAACAAAATATTGAGCAAAAGCTGAATAATGTACATGCGGTGTCATACGTTATATTTTTAAGAATTTTCCAAAATATTGTGGTCATTACAGTGTTGTGTGCCTGCGTTCGTGTGTGTGCGTGTGTGCGCGTGTGTGTGTGTGCGTGTGCGTGTGTGTGTGTGTGTGTGTGTGTGCGTGTGTGTGAGTGTGAGCGTGTGTGTGTGCGCGCGCGCGCGCGGCATTTTCAGGAAGAAAAACATATTTCATTTTGGGATGAGGCTATAACAATAAAGTGTGGAAAAAGTGGAAGACTGAATGTTTTACGAATGCACTATACACTTGATATAAATAGATCCATCCATCTATCCTTCATTATCCCTTTATTTCCTTGTAGCACATTAGCGGCTGGGAATTATTGGTATAAACAGGATGAATGGATGGATGGGAATACTGACTTTCATCCATTTAAAATACACATTTTCAGATGTAAGGACACGCACAAACTTTGTTGCGCATTAGTCCACTCACCTCTTTGTGTGATCTCAGAAGATTCTCTTGATCCAGGTCTGGAAATGCTTTCTGAACCACCCTGTATGCTCATTTCCATGACGATCAATTGGCGTGTTTTGACGCTTGGCTTCTTTTTCTCTGCACATGCATAGAGACAGTAGTTCATCAAGCCTCCTCATCTCCTCAATTGCCCTCTGCAGTTTTGGATCTTGCTTCTCTTCATCAGTTGCATTAATATCATATGACCCTAAAAGGGATATGCATATACAGCATTATAATTGACTTCACCTGCAAACTTGCACTTCAGCATTCACAAATTTGTCCATTCGATATTTTTTCAGAAGCTTATCCATGGATGTTTCACTGAAAAGCTCACCTACTCTCTGTTTTAGCATTTGTGGCACCATATTCAAGAAGTGAGACTGTAATTACTGCCAAAGGTGCATCAACAAAATATTGAGCAAAAGCTGAATAATGTACATGCGGTGTCATACGTTATATTTTTAAGAATTTTCCAAAATATTGTGGTCATTACAGTGTTGTGTGCCTGCGTTCGTGTGTGTGCGTGTGTGCGCGTGTGTGTGTGTGCGTGTGCGTGTGTGTGTGTGTGTGTGTGTGTGCGTGTGTGTGAGTGTGAGCGTGTGTGTGTGCGCGCGCGCGCGCGGCATTTTCAGGAAGAAAAACATATTTCATTTTGGGATGAGGCTATAACAATAAAGTGTGGAAAAAGTGGAAGACTGAATGTTTTACGAATGCACTATACACTTGATATAAATAGATCCATCCATCTATCCTTCATTATCCCTTTATTTCCTTGTAGCACATTAGCGGCTGGGAATTATTGGTATAAACAGGATGAATGGATGGATGGGAATACTGACTTTCATCCATTTAAAATACACATTTTCAGATTTAAGTACACGCACAAACTTTGTTGCGCTTAGTCCACTCACCTCTTTGTGTGATCTCAGCAGATTCTCTTGATCCAGGTCTGGAAATGCTTTCTGAACCACCCTGTATGCTCATTTCCATGACGATCAATTGGCGTGTGCAGAGAGAAGTAGTATTTTTTTTCTATATTGAATGTATAATAACTATTAATGCTAATGCTAACGGTGTCTAACTCCGATATAGTGAGCACAATCTTGTGGGGGGGGGGGGGGGTAAGTTTGACACAGAGTTTGCAATTGATTTCGTCTGCAACCACGGACACAATCACGATGGTTGTTCTCATTGAACGACCACAAAGACGTTCTATTCTATCCTATTTCACGTCAGTGGCGTAAAAACGACGGCTCTTTTTACGTATTTGGTATAAAATAAGATATCAAAAAAACATACCATCATTGCCCCTTGAAGTGAAACTCATTTGATGCCTTTCCTACTCTGTGTGCGTTTTAAAAGAGAGAACGCGGCCAGGTTCCCTTGAAGTGAAACTCATTTGATGCCTTTCCTACTGTGTGGGTTTTAAAAGAGAGAACGCGGCCAGCTAAACGCACGTCAAGCATATGGTAACTATGGACGCCAAATCTCCCGGATGTTGTAACGATGGAAATATGCCTTCGTTACTATGGAGGCGGTGCAGTGCTCGAGTCTTCAGCTAGTTAGTGTAGCCGTCAGGCAGCTAGCCTCATTTATGTGTATACCTGTATATATTTTTAATGGTTGATATTATACACAACCGTCTGGAATATTAGTAGTAAATGTCGCCGTTGTGGAGGGTGGAGTATCCCGGGCTGTGTTGAAGGAAGGTGGGTAACAGCTAGAAATGTTACCGTCCGCATTACGTAGTTTGTTTTTGCTAGGTAGCTAGCGGTCGACTCATTTTGGTCGTTCTGACGTATTAGGTTTTAGGACAATTGTCGTCGATATGTAGGCATCACTGTGGACTTAAGCCAAGTATGTTCGAATCAAGTTTTACGTCGTGTTCCAAATCCTTTCTTGGCAGATATGCGTAGTGTAGGGAAGAGGTATGTGCTTGTTGTTGATGTCGAACCAATAACAAGAACTGTAATTATATTACACTGCATCTGCGAAGGATTGCTTTGTGCTCGTCGTTTACGGCGGTATTGAAATGAAACACTGTAATTAATGAGGCGTATGTTTGTGGAAAACCGTTACCTTACACTGCTCTCTCAGACCTGTCAGGTCTTATCATCATCATAGCGTCTTTTCACTGGCATCTGTCCAACCTCTGTACACTATTTAAGCTGTCAATCATATTGTTCCAGGGTCATTTGACTGCGGGGAAAGATGCGCAATGGAAAGTCAAAGGCAACATCACAAGTTTGTTGGACCAACCTCTGTTTTAAATGGTCCTTATCCTTGCTGCTGGCTTTGGCGGTGGTAACCACAGGGCAAGATGGTTCAGGTAAGGGGAGTCTGCATGCACTCAAAATGTTATTAGCACTCTATTCACAGGGGTGAGGGACCAAGCTCCGAAGCAAAACGCAAACATTTTCAAATAATAGTCAAGCATCGCAGTTTGCTGTCAAAATGTGTATCGTGTTCCTCATAAAAACACGTGGGTGCAAAATTGAGAATCAAATGCTTACCGTCAAATGTAGTCATGTGTATTGGGAGCCGTTCTCACCACTTGAAAGAGCCCCCAAATTTGTCTTTTTGTTATTTTCAGGTTGTGTCAGACCTGTCATGGTGGAGCATGGCTCGGCTACCGTGCCAAAAACCAACATGGATGAATTCCCCGTGGGGACAGTGCTAGAGTACCATTGTGACTCTGGTTACCTGTTAGATGGACCCGGCATCCTCACCTGCACTGCACTGGGACACTGGTCCTCAGAACCACCACAGTGCATACACAGTGATGGTAAAGTCACTTAGTGTAGTCACAACATAGAGCAGGCGACGCAGGCTCACATTAACAAGCGTTTTCATAGTAGTGCTAATGTTCAAAATTAAAACACTGGAATTAGCGAGAGTTTCTCATTTTCCCATCTTTCAACAGTATGCCAGTCTCTGCATTTGCCAAAAAACGGGGGCTACACCTGCCACCCCTCTCCATGTCGCCAACTTTCTCATGGCACTGTGATTGAATTCTACTGTGATGAAGGCTACACCCTGAAGGGAGATTATAAATATCTGACCTGTCAGTATGGCGAGTGGGACGGCCCGGTTCAGATCAGCTGCGTCAAAGAGCAAGGTATTTGACTTTGGCTATTTCAATCATGAACTGTCATTACCGATAAAAGAAAAGAAAGTTATTTATTAAGGTACACAGTAACAGTTGTAAAATGTTTATTGACACTGTCAGACAAGTATCAATTTGTATAAATTACTGTGGTAAAAAGATTTTTCCTCATAATGCTAACATTGCTCCAATCATTTTCTCCCACATGGAACACGTTCAGTTTATAGTCAGCATCTTTGTGTCCATGCATGAGAAACACTCAGAAGTTCCCCAGAAGAACTGTTAAAGAATTCAATTCAACTGTTATTCTTGGTCTCCCCGGGTAAATTACCGTCAACCAGGCTGAAAGTATTTGTTGCGTTGATACAAGTGAAAACAGCAGTGTCTGCCGGTTGAAAATATTTGTAAGTCTAATTCAAATAAAAACACCAGTTTCCCAGAATTTGCTGGGCTTCCTCCTAGGATGCGTGAGGCCGTACGTGGTTGAAAACAGCTGGGTAAACCACACGGAAACCAACAGAGGCTTGTTCCCTGTGGGCACCGTGCTGCAGTACAGCTGTGACCCTGGTTACCTGCCAGACGGCCCGAACATTCTCACCTGCATCTCGCCAGGACGCTGGTCCTCACAACCTCCCAATTGTACACAGAGTGGCGGTAAGACTCTCAGTCCGCTGTATTCACGTGTAAAAGCTGTCATGTGAATGATTTTAAATTGCCCAAGACACCCTCCAAATCACAAATGTAATTAACATTTTTTTGCGAATTGTGGTCGAGCTCCAAATTTGATAAGTTTTTAACAAGTTTAAACGGGTTCAAGAGTTGAGTTTCCGCTCTAAATATATTTATATGTTTTTCCCCCTCTCCTCCAGCTTGTCTCCCTTTGTCTGAACCAGAGAACGGGGGTTACACCTGCCACCCGTCCCCCTGTCGACTATTTTCCCACGGCACTGTCATTGAGTTCTTCTGTCATCCGGGCTTTGTTCTCATGGGGGACTACTACCTGACCTGTCAGGATGGACAGTGGGATGGCCCCACGCGGATCAAATGTGTCAAGCAAGGTTACCTCCATTTATTCATGTAATCTTCATGACAGGTGACAGAGTTGGACATTCTTGAAACCGGTTCTCGTATCTTAAGTCCTGAGTATCTTCCTTTTTATTAAGTAAGTGTCTTAACCCCGTGACTGTCACTGAAGGATGTATGAGACCCTTCATAGAGCAGCACGTTTCGTCTAATCTGACCGACAACAACATGGGCGCCTTCCCCGTGGGCGCTGTGCTACAATACCGCTGTGACCCGGGTTACCAACCGGATGGATCCACCATCATCAGTTGCACTGCCCTGGGACGCTGGTCCTCAGAACCTCCTCGCTGTATACGTACCACCGGTAAAGATCTGATATTTAATCCCCTGAAATGTGTTTACTTATAAAGTACGTCAAAATTAACAGTCTCCACTCACAATGTAATTATTTTTGTAGCAATTGTAAAATGTGTGTGTTATTGAGCGAAATAAGGATTTAATCCTCAAACCAAACATGAATTACAGCAGTTCCTGGCAGAGAAATTCTTGTTTGGCAGGCACACTGATGAAACGTTTATTGTAGTTTTTCACTGAGTTTGCACACAGCTCGGGAGGGATTTTGGATGCTGCAAGTTTCGTAGCTGCTGCTTGGAAACACAGGGCTTATGTTCCCTCCACAAGTTTTCTCCTGTTTTGAGGTCTGGAGAATAAGTTACTCCATGACCTTAGTATGCTCCATCTTGTTGAGTTTAACCCTTTCTTGAACCCTGTAACCTGATAACATGATCAGCTGTCCACTGTCGTAACCGCTGTCCCTGAAAGGGTTAATAAAGAAATGTTACACTCTTTCTTCAATTTCATTGACAGTGTGCCGTCCTCCGTATCAGCCGCAGAACGGAGGCTACACCTGCCACCCCTACCCGTGCGGAAGACTCTCTCACGGCACTGTGATCGAGTATTTCTGTGACGAAGGCTACATCATGAAAGGAGAATATAAATACCTCACCTGTCAATACGGCACATGGGACGGCTTCATGCAGATCAGCTGTGTAATGGAGCAAGGTAACATCCTCCCCACACACTCACGCCCCTCAAAATGTTTATAGCTGCCTACATCTGGTTTTCTCTTCTTATCTTATCTTATCTTATCTTAGGTTATTATAGAAAGTAAACATAAGCACTAGCCATTCCCTGCCAGCCAAATCAGCATTCTCATTCGCTGACTTTCATGTCAATCAACAGGCAAATTCCACCTTTAAAGGCACAAACAATTCAACATCACAAATACATTGTAGAACATGCGGATAGTGGCCCCACATGGACAAAAATAATACTTGCACATCACATCCATAATATTTTGGGATTATATGCATGAAGCTCTAAAATCCACATGTATAAAAAATAAAATATTGAGTGGCTCCTTTGCGGATTTCATCTATCATGGGTGTGGTCTGGTATGTGGTACTGTAACCTCCGCAATCAACAAGGGATGACAGAACTCCATTTTAGATTGTCCAAATTAAATTGATCCTATGATTGAATTTCCAACAATGTTTTCCCTCAGAACACGACACATCCTTACCGTTGGGGATGTCGACTTGGTCAATCGTATCATCTACAGCCAGCTCAGTGGCACTCATCCTGCTCCTGGTGGTGCTCTTTGTGCTTCTGCAGCCGAAACTGAAGTCCTTCCACCGGTGAGGCAAAAACCAAGCCAGAAATTACAAAAAAAAAAAAAAAATCTTCTTCCTGTCATATTTGTAGACACTAGAGCCTTTTTTTTTATTTTTTTTTTTTGTAAAAATGACTTTGGAAGCCTTCAAAATCTTTTCTTAAAGTACAAGACGATGCTAGCATTACTTTGTTATTATAATATAAAAAACAGTGATTTATCATCGTTGAATGTGGGTTTCCTCCAACAGGAATTTCCCAGGACTGATGATAAGTCCTAGATTGTGTCTTCTGTCCCTTTCCACCCAGACGGGAGCGAGGTGTGTCAGGCCATCCCGTGTCCATCGTGGTGGAAGGAATCCAGGTGACTCTACCCTCGTACGAAGAGGCGGTCAGCAATAACTCTGCTTCGGCCTCCGCCCCGAGCAACGAGTCTCGTGTGCAGATCGTGTTGTCCGAGGGCTACCCGCAAACCACGGGACCGGAGGCCGGCCCCTCTCAGCCCTCTTCCCTCAGTCAGCTGCATTCGGAGATGGCCGCGATGGACCCTTCGCCACCTTCATCCTTCTCTTCGCCCTCGAGCGGGACTCTGCAGCCCGCTGGCGCCGCAGCTCTGCCTCACGACGACCAGCGCGGCCTCCCTTTGCTCGACTCGGAGGTGGATTGTTCTGATGGTGAGGATTTCGTTTCGTACACACTCCTTATTTTCAATTCATGGCATGTACATGTAAAAAGGGCTGGAATGATCATGATAATGATTTTTTTTCAATAGAAGTCTGAAAATTCTCTGAGGACTACCATACCTTAAATAACAATTCTGATCAACACCTGAGTCTAGAATAAAGGCAGATGGGACCGTAAATCCGATTTTATATTTTGAAAACTAATAGTAAAAAAAACAAATTGATTTTTTTTTTTTTTTTGTGAAATAAATTATCATTTATGGGAAACAACAGAGAAAGAAAACGTACGAAAAATTTGTACCATTGAGTACCGGGATGGATTCCCAGATACCCAGAATTGGAACCGAACCGGTTCAAATGTAAAAGGTACCCATCCCTTCCGTCAACTATGCCCATGGAAGCTAGTTTACAAAAGTAGGTTTATTGTTCCCCATTGTAGTGACTAAGTCACTATACAGTATTACGAGACACTCCCAAACCCTCCAGCCACTTTTCTTCAAAAAAGCAACTAGCAAAGGTTCTTACGTTTTGACAGGACCACCAGGAGCTCTTATCCAGCCTCTTTTGGATGTCTCCAACCTCCAACACACCTTCTTGAAATGATCTGCTCAGCAGCAAGCTTTGCGAAAGCCTGATTATTTTAATCAGGCTTGTTGGAAGAGGGCGACATCCAAAACAGGCGGGATAAGGGCTTTCGAGGACCGGACTTGGGCACCTCTGCATTTTAGGAATGGCCTGACCGATTAGTTGGCCTTACTCCTTAAAAATCTACAAATATCAAGTGATTTATTTTTGGGGGGTTCAGTTAAATTTTAAGTTTTGTCAATTTATACATATTTTTTTACATTAAAACATTACGACATAAGACAAAGATAATGATATTCATTATCTAATTCAGTGTTGTCCAAACTACAGCTAATTGCTTGAGCGATTGATTGTAGAGTGTTTAATTAAAAACCCCTGGGTTAGACCATGCCAAAGTGGATCTTGCATCCTTGGCTTTCTCTGGATGTGGCCCTCGAAGGAAACATTTTGGACATCTGGTCTAAGTGAAGGTGGAAAAAATGAACTATCAAACAACAACAACAAAAAAAAGTCTAAACTTTATTTTGAGGTTGCTACAGTGCTATGCTTTTGCTTTGTGCAGATATGCCTTTGCTGAAGGACGCCTGAAACACAAACCATGTCGACTCATCAGTGAACACACTTCAAAGTGGCACCAAGCTAAGTCATGTCTCCAACCACCCCAAAGCAAAACATTAGGGCACTTCTGTACACATACACACTAACTCACCTCACAGTCTATGTATACCTAACATCCTTACGATACCTCTGCCTTTCTCTTTTCTCGACTGATGCTTTAAGCACGCGACACCACAACACAGCATTATAGGCTTGTGATGTAAGCTCCCAGCAGGAAGTGATGATGAATTAATATAATCATTTATCCATCATCAATCACCTTCCATTTGTCGCTATATACCACATGACCTCACTTTGCTCTCTTTAACTTCTTCACACCTTTGTCCCCGATGGCCTTATCTTCCCACTTCTATGCACACGTAGCTTTCCATTTTGTACAATGAGGTTTGAACGTTGCTTCGTGACACTACGTATCTTTAGCTTTGTCACCACAGCCACAGAAAATGTTATACCATTAATTTATTACTGCTTAAAGATGTGTGTTTACTTTATTATGCTGTTGATCAGCGTTGGCTTTGTTGACACATTTTTAGGGGTGTTCACACGGCACACATTTGCTCCGGAGCAAATTTTTAAACCACCTCCCGGAGCAGGGTTAAATTTGCTCCGGTTTAAGCTGTTTTCAGGGGCTACACCGGTGTAACTTTGCACGTATGAACGCTCTACTGGGGCAGCACCGGAGCAAATGTTGCCGTGTGAACAGCCCCTTTGGCCTATTTATACCGGTGCGCAGTACCTGTTTTGTTTTCTCTTTCACTGCCTAAGTTGCACCGCGTGCACTGTAAAAACTAGTCTGGAGGATGCACATTGAAAAAAAATGACTGTAAAGTTTGGTTTAAAATCATTGTAACATTTTATTTGCTTGTTCATTGAACTGACATGAGTGATGTTATGGATTTTTGCTTTGTGAAAGTTGCATTGTAATATATGTAAAGTTTGAGGTTAACTGTTATGTAGCATTTTGTCACAATCTTGTTTGATTAAATATTATTGAATATGCAAGTTGTTCGAAGTCTGCGAGTGCGGACTTGAGATAAATTCACTGCATGGCAGCAGTGAACTCAACTCTCTTCCCAATAATCGGCACTTAGGCAAATAGCAGCTCTTCAAATGAGGCTTCAAATGTGTTTATTTCCACTCTCAGGTTGACTGTCAAACTAAACATAAAAGAAAAATAATGACATATTCTGTATTTCAATCGAGTATTTTGGGAGCCTCGTACACTGTTGTGAGAGTGCCAAAATATTAGGAACACTTCCGTGTAAGATGCAGTACAATTTCTTAAATGGGTGTTTTTTTTTAAACGTAAGTCTTGAGTGTGAAACAAGCATCTTCGCGTAATCTCTCTACTATGTTGGTGTCCTGTTGCTTTAAATGTTGCTGCCTGAAAGAATTGCAGGTAATATCCTCATAAAGGTTGGTCATGAGTAACCTATGCCAAAGGGGTCAAAAAGGTTGCATTCAGTCACCTTTCCTGAGCATTTTTCGAATTCAAACTATCCTAGCCTTGAGTCGTCCCGCTCGGATTTGATAGGAAAGGACATTTTTCAAGGCAAAAATGAGAATTCGAAGAGGTCCGAAGTAAACTTCAGGAAAAACTATGGTGAGCTGGAATACGATACTGTACTTTTGTTTTTTTATTCTTCCTCGTGTCAAACTTACACAATGTCAAACTAAATATTGCCCAAAATTTGTGGTCAACGGTGGAACTACACCCAAAATAAACGGGTGGGAGAACAAAATTCAGTTACGAACTGCACAAAATTTGTGAAATAGCAGGTCCACAAATCCGAAATGTAGCAAGCTTTACATTATTCCATTATGGAATACTGTTGTAATACAACAATGTGGGACAAGTGAAGTGAAGTAAATACTTTCCAGATTCTTTGTTCTTTATTGTGATCCAAAGTGAAGTCCATGCGTTTCTCATGTTTGGTTATTTTCCTCCATGCTTCTCAGACACTGAGGCGGTTTCACCTCTTCTTGTTTGACGTTGACATTCGTGTATATTCTTGTTTCTGCCAAATAAAAATGCAACAATATTATAAAAACAAAAAAAAAAAAGGCCAGTTGCTCAAACTGCAAGTCCACTCAACTTCATTTCAACCCCTACAAAAACATACACGCAGCTGTGACATTTACCCTCAGCTGGCGACTTGACCATTTGGTAACATCTGAAGCATAGGGTCAGGAGAAGAGCCTCGGCGCACTGGAATGTGTAGTAAAGCAAAGGGAAGAGGAACATGGGCCCGATGACCTCTGGAGGGAAGGCCACCTTCAAGATAGCCAGACACAGCTGGATGTTCTGACAGCCTGTTTCCACAGAGACGGTCCTGCTGCATCTGGATTCAGTACAGATAGATCGATGGCGCTTACTGCTTCGTATGACGACAACGACCTGCACGATATTGTTCATTTGGATGAACTTTTGAGAGCGATTTCTGACTAGGGTTATATAAATCTGACCCAGGGAGAAAAAAAAAAAAACCAAACAAAAAAACACGCAGGAAGACTGGTGCCAAGACTCAGAAGTGTGCAGCAGACATGCTAACCCGTAGGCCAACATGCTACGAGAAAGAAATAACTACTTTATTTCCTATGGAAAATTTTAGAAATTGTCTTGAATTGAGGCTACACTCTTAAAACCGCTGGATCAAGTACCGGTAATCAAATTGAAAAAGTTAACCCAGTGGCGGGTTATTTATACCCAACCCAGCACATTGAGTTCAAGATTTTGAGCCAACATGGGGTCAAATCCACCGAGAAATGGGCTACCAGGTTATCAGCATAGCTGTGGTAAAAAGTAATATGAACTCTATTACCAACATTTTCAAGGGGGGAACTTTCAGGGGTCACCACAGCAAGTCATTCAGTTTCTGCTCTTCAGCCCGTCCAAATCCAAACTTCAACCCAATCGGCTAGGTCAAAAAAAAAAAAAAAAAAACTTTGGCTCCAAGTAACCCAGTCTGCGCAAAATTCTACCTAGTGTGTGGGTTCCACAAACCTGTACGTTGACAATGACGCGTCTGACAAACTTACTTTGAGCTGAGTCTGCATATGGTGGACATGACATATCCCAGCGTGAAGCCTATGAGGGGCATCAGAGCCGCCACGGCAATAACATCGGCGGTCAGGATCACCCACAGCATGTCTTTGACGGCCACACCAGACAAAGAGAACACAATGATGCCGGAGATGATCAGAATGCTCAGTCCAGACTGTTGACAAAGAGAAGCACGGTTTATGCCATTTCCAATCAATTATTCTCAACTCTCAACGGGACTAAAAGCAAGGTAGGAGGAAAATGTTCCTGTTTACAAACATGGATTTAATTATCTGACAACATGTGGGGATGATTTGTTCTTTGAGAACGGTTGCTCAAATTTTCCATTTGAATCGAAAACACTTTGCTAAATGACATTCAGTCGACAAAAACTTCCAGTGGAAAAGGAATGCTTTGTTCGATAACCAATGAAAAAAAAAAAAAAAAGATCTTACTTTCAGGACCACCGGTGTATATTTTGGTTTGTAGTGATTGAGCAAGATGCCCACGCCACAGGGCACCAAGGTGAAGGTGAGAGCGCTGAGGATGCCCATGTAAGGGACTGCGTTCTCCAGGCCGCTGAAACCTTGACAGTAGATCAAAAGCAGCAGGGGCATCAAACCCAATGCTGCAATGCAGGAGCATGTGGTCATCACAATACTGCAGAAAAAAACAACAAAATTACAAGGGAAATAGTACAGAAAATGAACTTTTTTATATTTTGATATAAGGAGGTGGGGCACAATCCAGAGTGTAACATGGGTCCTCCTTCCCATTGGCTCAACACCTGTGGGAGAGGCCAAGGGGGTCAGGTGCTCAGAGAGTAGTGCGGTGACATGAGGCGGGGACTTTGGCAAACCAATCCTCAGCTACAGAAACTGGCTCTTGGGACAAGGAGTGCCACTTCTCTGGCAGGGATAGTGCCCAAGCTGGTGTGTGACGTTGGAAAAGGTCCAACTAGATGTAGTTGGTCGGGCTTGCCTCCCAAGCAGCTTAGGCTCTTGAGAGGGGTTGGATTCTCTTTCACTTTGGACATGCCCACGGTGAGAGGTGCTGAGCAGTTGAGGGCATACTCATATTCCCGCCCCGCCCCCTTTTTTGTTTGTTCAGATGCACCATGCAGCAGTTCTGAGTAACAACCGTTTCTGGAATCCTTTGAAGGAGTTCTGTAGAGCTGGGGAGCTTCAATCTTCACATGGACAATGATATTGAGACCTGGATTGGGAGGAAAGCCCCCACCCTCGATCAGAACCTGAACAGTGGTCTGTTATTGGACTTTTGTGCTCGCCATGGATTGTTCATAACAAACACCATGTTCAAACATAAGGACACTCTAGGCCGCCATTGTAATTGGACTTGTGGCTGCATGTCATGGACACTCAAGTGAAGAGAGGGGCGGAGCTGTCAACCAATGTTGGCTTCTATGATAGGGAAAGATGCCGATCCAACCTGGCCCGAACATATTGTGAGGGTCTGCTTGCAACTTCTGTTCGAGTCCCTTGTGAAAACGTGGACTGTACAGACTGCGGACTTCAGGGCCAACATTGCGATCTCTCTATAGCTGTAGGTTGAATTATTTGTATACCTGAGATTCATGTCACCCTTTAGTGCCAAGGTGAAGATATTGGATAGATTTCCTCCAGGACAGCAGCCGCATATGAGCACAGTCACCGCCTTCACTGAATCCATCTTCAGTGATTTGGCAAGTGTAAACGCAGTCAAGGGCATAATGCCGAACTGGGTCGCCATGGCGATGGCCACTCCCTTGGGCTTGAGCAGATGGCTCTTGATTTTGGACATCTCCATGGTGCACCCGAGGGATATCATGGTGATGAAGAGGATAATGACGGTGAAGGTGTTGATGGCATTGTTGAGGGGTGGGGATATGTTCAGAATGTTCATGGTCCCATTGGCAGACATGTTCCCCTCATTGGAGACGTCCATCACATTCATTGTAGAGCTCAACTGAATGCTTATTTTGTGTGGGCTTCACCTGACAGACAATGCAAAAGAAATGTTATTTGATCGGAGTTTGCATATAGTTTATTGTTAAATCGACAAAAGTAATCAGCACACTTTTCAACCAATCAAGAAATCTTCATGTTTCAAGAATTCCTGTAAGACCACTCTGTTCATTTACTTATGGTGTTCCCTAAGGTTCCGTTTTAGGGCCCCTTCTTTTTTTTTTTTTTTTTTTTTGAATAAATTTTAATCCCAACCATCCATCCATTTTCCAGTTGACTTTGGCCCCGAGGCATGATACATCCCAGACTACTCACCAGCCAATAACAAGGCACATAATGAAAAAACATTCACATTTACATTCATATCTATGGACAATTTAGAGTCTTCAATGGACCAAATTTGGAACGAAAAAAGAAGCCGGAGTCCCCCCCCCAAACCCCCCCCCCCAAAAAAAAACAAAAAAAAAAACACAAGCACAGGGAGAGCATTCAAACTGTGCAGGAAGGGTAAACCCTAAACTTTCTAAACGGGAGGCAGATGTGCTGACTATTAGTCTTCTGTGCAACAAATGAAAATTTCAGTTTCACGTTTTCCAAATCTATTCATTTCTTTTGAATGGTGCAACCCTTGTATCCCATGGTGGAGTAGTCATTAAAAATTTGATAATTTACAGTATTTGACCTTTATATAATGCAATAGCAGCCAGATTACATTCTGCCATTCATCACTTTAAATTTGGATTTACTGAAAAGCAAAATGTTTAGGAATTGCGATAAAATAATTAGTAAATGTTTATTTGCGCTAATTCATGACGAAATTAAAGTAGGTTAGGCTGTAGTGTTCTAATGCTCCATTTTCTTTTATAGTTTCACATTTCCTCAATCCAGAGCGATGTGTGCATGACATGATACTGATGTTCAAGATGAGGCCAATGATTTTTTTTTTTTTTTGCTTTGTGCTCTGCTGTAAATCATTTGTAAAACCAAAGTGAATGGTGTTCACAGACAACTAAAGAAAGGTGCATTTATGTTGAAATGTTTCTTCATGCAATCACAGGAGATCAATTGGGATTAAAATGCCACACAATTTAATCATGAGCCACAAAGGATTAATTATTGTTGAATCTTGTTGTACTTTCGTGAACTTTTGCTTCAAAAAGAAATTGTTGCCTGACCATGGTTTCCAAATGGCACACAGATTCATCCTGTGAACTTTGCTTCAAAAAGAAATTGATGCCTGACCATGGTTTCCAAATTATAACACAGTTTATCCCAAAGCACGACTCTACGATGTTTAATTATTTGCTTTGGAATGTAGAGTAAAAGGGAAATTTTTAAATTGAACAAGCAAGCTGTGAAAAATGACTCTTTTTTTTTTTTTTTTTTTCCCTGACCATTTTTTCACTTGAGTCTACAATTGGAATTAATGCTACAATAAGTACTGGATAGATTTCTTACCTTCCAACAAATCCAAGCTTCAAATTTAGTAGTTTGCATCCCTGCACACATTCCCCTGTTTGCTCCTCTTCTTTTGTGGCCAGATTGGAACCCTCCCTCCTGTGCCATGTGGCTCCATGGCAACATGGTGGCGCTGCTGCAAACTGCAGAGAAACACACCAACCTCTTGTTGAAATGCTACACCATAAGCAGCTGGATTGTTTTTGTCCCATCTACACAGAATTTCATGAAATTCCGTTTAGTAGTGACCTTCTTCAAAAGCTGTGCATGAGGTTCCTTCCTGATTTGATTTCCCGTTAATCAGAACATCTTTTTGGGCTGCAAAGGTGCATGTGGAAACAGAGGCCCATATTATGCAACTATGCAGATAGAGTATTCCGTAGGACTTGGCAGAAGACATCCTCTTTGTCTTTTGAATGGGATGCTTTAGTAAACAAACACATTAGTTACGACTCACATGAGGGGCTAAAGAGCTCTAGTGTGGTGGTTGCCTAATCTCTACTAGTATGGTGGAGATTAGGCCCAAATTAAAGGGACCACAATTTCAATGCTTCTCATGTTCTGGAATTTGCTGGTGGAATTGTTTGGTTTCCATATATGTACAGATGATTAAATATAACAAAAGGGGCTTATTGATATTGTCCCCACAGGCATCTATTTCTGACCCAAGCCTTCGTCAAAGAAGTTCCATTCCATCATTTCTTTCTTTTTTTTCAACTTCCAAGCAGGGTTATAATATTGAGTGATTTTTAATAATGGTTAGATTTAGTTTAATTTATTTTATTTTTCATTTTTACTTTTGTCGTTTCATTTCAGACAGCTGAGGTAGGCTCCAGAAATTGAAATGAGTAGGTGTTATAATTGGGATGCACTGAACAGCAAGCCCTTGCACTATTTTCTATTTCTAAATCTATGGTCATCATCACCTTTTTCCCTCTTTGGCCTCACCGGTTCCCCGCCATGTTGACATGACAAAAAAAAAAAAAAACCATGAAAAACCAAAGACTGACTTTGAAGTTTCCTTCCTTTTATGCTCTTCTTATTCTCTTAATTTCCGAGCGTTTATGTCGGCTGCACTGCTTCCAGTGCTGTATGTGCATGCTGTCTTTTTTTTTCTCCAAATGTCTGAGTATTGCCATGTCAATCTCATCTGCCCTGGCCCATCAGACTCAGTAGTGATGGCCAATGTAACTTAAACTATATTAGCAATGAGATTTTCTTTAACCAGTCAGATATCAAATTCATCCTCACCGGGCTTTTTATAAACCCTGATTACTTGGTCATGGCACAAGCTGTTCCAGTCAACTTGAACAAGTAAAACACATCAGTCGTGAGCCAGCATCTGCTTGTATTATGATGTGTTTCAATGAAATTGTTCAAGTTTTTTTGATCTTTTGAGAAAAATATATTGATTCTGAACTGCTACGTGGCACAGTTGCATGCCGTTATATTGTATTTTGTATAGTGTCTTTTCTGTAATTGCCATGTGATAGTGGTGGGATTTTAAGAGAATAAACCCAGACTGAAGACTCAGGCATCCAATGCACCGGGGATTTTTGTGACATTCTGGATGTGTGCAAAGTAGACAATGAAAGCGCATGTTATGTGTATTGATGCACTTGTGCGTTATACAAGCAATGAGCCGGTGCGACTACTTAAAGGTCCCATGGAGCAATGGATGGTGAGTGGGGGAGGGCAACTCAAACTGAGCTAGGCCACCATCTGGTCTCATATTCATCGAGAGAAAAGCTGTGTTATTTTGTCAAACAAGCCACAGTTTTCCCCTGTGGTCTTGTAACTCCGTGGGTCACAACTTCCTTATCAAATATGACATGTATGATATGTTTATCAGCGGGAAACAGGCTTACCTCCTTCCTTTATTTGTGACTCTCTAATCAAACTTTTTTTTATCTTCACGGCTAAATATTGATAGTGGGTAATTTTAGGATGCATTTAATCATAAATACAAGTCCTGAGCTTGCTGTATTTGCAGCTTGCAAGCTGTCATGGGAAAATAACGGCACGCATCAGTGGGCACGTCCAACCCAAAGGAGTTATGGGTAATGAAGTTTATAAAACGCGACATGGCACCGTTGCCTATCGAGGATGTGTGTGCAAGTAAACTACAATGCCCAGAACTCTGCCGTTTTACCCGCGCATGCGCTTTGTGTGTTTTCTGCTCCATGTGTAGGCGAATCACGTGTGAAGTAACCGTTCGTCGTCATGTCTCTGCTGTAAGCAGAGCCTCACGCAAGATTTTTTTTATTTTTCCTCCGCTCGCTGCCGCTTTTGTTTTGACAGCTGCTTGTTTTCTTTTCGCATATCCCCTTTACCGAAGAATGAGCGAAAACGATGACATCGAAGTCGACAGCGATGTATGTGCCTCAGTTTCCCCCTCTTAAAAGGCAGCTAGCTTAGACAGTAACTTTGTCGCGGTATCCTGCTACGAGCTATCCGACCTAGCCAGGTTAGCTAGTAGGCTAAGATACCGAATCCCGAAAATTGTTTGGGGATAAGGAAGCGTATTTGGAGTGATAACCTTTGTGGTGTGTTATTCAAACAGCGAACAATCCCCAAGGCGCAACGGTGGCGTCTACTTCGTGCTTAAAATAAATGTTCGGATTGTGCTCGTTCCTTTTGTAGAACAGTACCAACCAATTGTTTGGAAAGATCCTCGTTTCCTTGTTAATTACATTCGAAAATAAGGCTCTAGTTATATTTGTTTTTGACTGGCACTCGGGAGAATATTTTATGCTCAACTAATCTCCCCGGTAGCAAGGTCAGGACATTTGAGGGGGTTAACTTTACTTGGTTCTATATTACGTTATTCGAGTTATTACTTCATACCGACCCAACAGGCTTTAAAAACAAAAAACGAGCCCAGTTTTGTTGAATAGAAATCGGAAGAACAATAATATTCCGACCAATATGCAGTGACCCACATTGCTAACATAGCGCTACGGGGTTTTAAAAACAGCCATGGCGTACCTCCGTCGAATTATTGACGTATATTGCTCTCCCTTGCTCCTAATGGTCAGTTAATAGATAGTCGGTTAGTAGCCTGCGACGTTAATTTGACTCCAGAAAGCGTTGTCGTGATATTTTGACTGAATTTCCGTGCACTGTCGTTTCCGTGTAAAATGCAACAGGACTATTTCTTGCAAGTCTCTCGAAATACATCGATTTCTAATTCCACCTCATAATGTTTTAATGGCGTCATAGTTATGTGCACGTGAAATTATTCACCGTCCCCGTTCTTGTTATATCTCGGTGGATTTCATGGATACCCCTCCCCCACGACTTGTTTAAGCTGCTGCTCATAAAGCCACACACTGCTTGCAGGCCTGTCAAGCTTTCATCCCTTGATGTGATGTATACACCTATCACAGCAGTGTTTCCCAACCATTATTGAGCCAAAGTTGCATATTTTACAGTGTTCAAATCCCACGGCATGCCATCAGACAGAAATGTCACAAAACGCATGCACGAGTTAAGATATTTTTTCAATCCAAACCTCCTCTTCCTCTTTGAAGTCCTTTTAAAAATCCCTTGGACTCGAAAGCATTTTGCCAGCATTGTTTGATGATCCTCTTCAGTTCTGTCATTCTAAGGCCATCTCCATGTCTTCGAAATGGGTACCCTTGCTAATCCCCATGAGCTTGGGAAATGAATAGGGAGGTAGCTGCAGCAAGATGATGTTCTTCTGGGCCATGATTTGTTAGATGCTCTTTGCATTGCGAATTGTCAAACACAGTGGACGATGGCCCTCACATCGAAGAATGTAATTAACGTGACTTGGTTTTGGTGTAGTCGGTCGGACTCTCCTACTGAAGCCTCTGGCATCAGTCTGCGCGTCGTGCTCAAGGATCCCAGACTCCCCGTTGTTGGCTACCGGTGTAACAAAAAAAGTATTTGAATTGGAAATTCACTTCTGATTTGATGAACCGAAATGAATTGTGACATTTTGAAATCGTTGCATCCTTGGATCGTACTGCATCTCAAATATTGAGATACGATATGTGTGTCAACGCTTATGAACCAGAAAGTTTGCCTTGAGTTTTTCCCATTCCGTAGTAATCAGCAGTAGAACATCGGTAGGTTGTAGGGCTGCATGATATGGGCGTTGAATATTGCAAGATCGCTATTACTACGATATTTTAACATATACCCAAAGTGACATCGTTATCTACTGAAAAGTATTTTTCACATGGAAAAATAAGCAGTCTCGTTGTACTCATCCAATTTTTTGTCAACTCCCCGACATATTGTTATCCTACTCAATGGTGACGCACATTACATCTGATTTGGTCAAAGTCAGATAAAAGCGTACGATACGAATTTAGTGCATGTCTATGAGATGCACATGTGCCATTACCGCAACTCCAATATTTTTTCTAGATATTGTGCAGCCCTAGGAGTCTGTAATTGTAGTTGCATGTTTTCGCATGTGCACAGTCAGCATTCCCTGCCAACACCAGCAAACATTGCAATTTTTTCATGAAACTCGCACAGCTGGTTTTTGCCCGAAGTGAGGAATGCGTCGGAAGTAGAATGGGCCAGATGAGTTAACGTTGTTCTCTTTGTCATTGCAGGCAGATAAGCGAGCACATCACAACGCGCTGGAGCGCAAACGCAGGGACCACATCAAAGACAGCTTTCACGGTTTACGAGACTCTGTGCCTGCACTGCAAGGAGAGAAGGTGAGAGGAAATGTATGTCTCCACTCAAGATCCAGCATGACACATGCACACACAAGCCTCTAAGAACAGGAAAAGCATGAGGCGCCGACCCACGCCTAAGTCAATAGACCAGTCTTTTATTCCACGCAAATAGGACACTTATATCGTCAGAATCTGCGCAGATGAGTGGAAGTCACACACTGTACTCTCCATTGAGCATCTCTTTTAAGGTTATAGCTTAACTTGTGGCATTAACCCCCTTTGTCATAACTCTGCCAAAAGTTTATGATTCACTTCCTCATTTGTAAATGTATTCAGAGTACTTGGTGAAACGGATCATCTTAAGCCTCGGAAGTGTCATTGTCACCGGGCAGAACAACCTTAACTGATGTCCAGTGCAGCCGGAGCATATTCACACCACGTCACTTTCACCCCCTTGCATTATTTATTTATTTGTTTGTTTAGCTCTCCAGCGGAAGCCTAACGGTTTAGTACTAATACTGACCCCTCTTTGGAACTGTTCATAACTCCCCCCACCTTGGCTCAGGCCACAGTTCGTTTCTGAAAAACAGCCCAAGGAGCATGATGCTTGCCACCGCCACGCTTCATTGTATGGATGATGTTCTGTTGGTGAGCGGCGTTGTGTTACCTTTTAGAACTATGGCCAAAAAGTTCAGCCTGAGTTTCATCTGACCAGAGCACATTTTCCCATGTGGAATGCTAATTTAGTTTTGGTGCATGCTGTTTTTCTTAAGCTGGAATTTGGGCCTTAGTCAAGATGGAGGGAACTGTGAACACGTCCAAATAGCAGTCACTGTTTGCAAAACTGTAGGCGTCTGCTAGAAAGCAAGAACACATGTCTGGAAAAGCCTCCTCGAACATATGAACTTTATTTTGACGATTCAGAGGCAATGTTGGCAGGTTGTCCACAGTAAATATGACTTTACTATTGTGTTAGCATGCTGTGTTCTGACTTTCATACAAATTTGGGTTACATTGCTGCCGTAGGAATGGTACTCTGCCGTAAACCAAGAACCCCTTTGTATTAAATCATTACAGAGACTAGGGCTGGGTGATGTTGTTGTCATATTAATCTGTCGATAGGAATATTCACTTTTTTAATCTTGAATATTCATTTCCGTGTCATAAGCAACGGACACATTGCCGTGCTCCGTCAAGCCTCTAAAATACAGTACATGCAGTACATATGTTGTGTTTAACAACAATACTAAACCGTATTTATAATTTCATATGCACCGGTGGATATAACAGCAAAGCTTGTGGTTAAAATGTACGAGCGTTTCGTGCCTGACTGTTCCATTCATTTGACTGAGAGCGAGGCGTGCCTTTCAATATAGATGCACTTTCCTCATCTTTCTCGCCCACGTCGTCTTTTTGTAGCAACCTGTGTGTTCCTTGACAGACATTGGATTGCAAAAAAGTGATTACTGCTGGCACAGTTCACATAGCAGGGAGTCCACACCTTTAATTGCTCAAAGTGCAAGGGTGAGGTTTTTTTTTTTTTTTTTTTTTTTTTGCTTTGGTCCCTTTCAAATCGGTTTTGGAAACATTGTGCCCTGTGTGGTGGGCCTGAGCACTAACAGTACAAAATGCGTCAAGCCACACTTGCATGGACAAATTGGTACGAAACTACACACACGGTGAACACAGGCACTCGTCATTGCAAACAAATACAACAAACACTTTGCATTACTGATGTGCATTTTTTTTAAATTATATTGCTGACTATGTTAATGTTCATGACTGTCCGTAAATTCTAATTTGGAAACTGCACTTTCCATGAATTGATATTTTGCTTTTTCTTTGAAGAACAAGAAGGCGGTTTTCACTGAACCCATCGTAAAATTGTTATTGTATCGTTATCAAGATATCTGGCATGAACAATATGAAAAATCAGATTTTTTTTTTTTCTTCCCATTTCGCCCAGCCCTAGCAGAGACCAATGTTGGCTTTGTAGACATTGACAAATGAATTAAGCTTGATGACATGTTGTTTTATGTAATTGTGTCTGATCCATTTTCAGATGAGTGCACACTGTGATTGTATTGACTGTTTCCACTGCATCATTGCTTCATGTCTCTCTGAAATTGTCTGCTGACAGAGCTCTGTTAAACAGGCTTCCCGAGCCCAGATTCTTGACAAAGCCACTGAGTACATTCAGTACATGAGACGAAAAAATCACACTCACCAGCAAGACATCGATGATTTAAAGAAGCAGAATGCACTGCTCGAACAACAGGGTATGTACACTCTGAGAACCGAGCCACGAGCAGAACACCGTGGAACCTCCTGAGGTCTGAGTCCTCATAGTATTTTTCAGGGTGGGGTGGACCAAGTCACTGTTGTTAGTCTGCTTTTGGCAGTGGTTACAGGCACCTGCCTTAAGTGAATGAACAATGGCTCAAAACCACTAATCCATTGTCAAAAGAGTCGTTCATTAATTAACCAATTTTGACGCCTTTGCCTGGCTGCCATTTATTATGAATTTGAATACGATTGCTTTATTCTGTACATAGCCACATCCCCAGTTACAAGACTGTTTACACTTGTTCAACCACATTTTCTCAGTTCGTTTTCCTTCCCATATATAAAAGATGTCTATTTTTTTCCAATTGAGATGTAGAGCATGTAGGTTGCATTAGCAGCGATTTATCTTGGTCCCATTTTTCTATATCACAACAATCTGTCTCCTCGCTTCATTTTTAGTTGTATCTTAAAACGGGGAACTTATTTTAAAAGTATTCAAATGTTACCTAAAACATAGCCTGCACACGTAAATGTTTTCATGATGCAGACAGTTTGACACGGGTATGCTTTTTCTGTGATTTGTTCGGGGAGAACATTGGTCCACATCCGAGGTTGAGCCGCAATCCCAAATGGCTTTCCCTTGACTTTGGAGGTTCCACTGTAGGACCGGGTCATGCCTCGTGCACCCTTGGTGGTGCCGCGCCTCATTTACTTAGCTGTTTTGATTGCAGTGCGTGCTCTGGAGAAGGCCAAGGGCAACAATCAGCTGCAAAGCAACTATTCCTCTGACAGCAGCCTGTACACGAACCGCAAAGGGAGCGCGGTGTCGGCCTTTGACGGCGGGTCCGACTCCAGCTCAGAATCGGAGCCCGAGGAGCCTCCGACCAGGAAGAGGCTGCGTGTGGAGCCCAGCTAGATTCTCCGACTGACTCCTCTCCGCCCCTCCCCCTTGTTGTTGTTTGTTTTCTGTTGCCCACCAGCCTGAAACTCCTCTTAGCTGTGTGCACTCAGCCCTGCCTTCTTACTTCAGCCAGTCAGGAGGCGAGGTGGAGACTGTGTGAGAGAGATGCTATATATTGTGTATAAAATGCTTCGACTTTCCTGAGCATCCTGTCACTTCTCCTCTCCTCGTTTCCCAGCGTGACCCTCCCACTCCCCCCCCCCACCCCAAAAGTGAGGCAGCTCTGCAATTTTGGAGGACTCAACGCTTTTCAATCCTCGCACTGACCTTAATTTTAAGGAATGTGGAGATAAAGTATGAGGCGTTAGGTCATACAACATGCAATTATTGGGGGGAGTTGCTTTCACAAAAAAATGTCGATTGAGAATAGTTTACCTTTTTAAATCTAATCTTTTTTTCCCCCCAAAATGAATGTTATGTTATGCAAAATGAACTTACTCAGTGTAGATGCCTGAAATGTTGTGTTTTGAAAGTGTTTTGTGGAATCAAATGAAACCCCCCTTATTTATATTGAACTTTCGCAATTGATGTCATTTGTTTTGGGCTTGAAAAGGACAAACATTCTGTTGTTTTAATGGCTTCACCCCCACCACAGGTTTGGCTATTTTCTCTCCTCTTATTTTTTTATTACTGTCAGACAAAAACTAAGCACCAAATCGATACTGAATGTTACACAGTACAGTCCAACTTTATTTTTCGGAATGATCTCTTGGTTCAGTGTGTAGTATATTACCCAATCCTTAATGGTGTCACTTCTGCAAAGAAAATTTTTCCGAGAATATTTTTGCTTGTGCTGGGAACGTTTCTTTTCAATTTTTTCCCCCTTTACTCAGAGGTAAACGAGTGTGTATGTAATCAATATTTTTTTGTTCCATTCCATGGAAATTACAGGTATGTTGTACATACTGCCAACGGGTGTCTTGCAAGTTAAGACATACCTTGAATAAAACTTTTATCCTTATCGGATGTATTTCTGACTTCATGTGTTTGTGTTCGTGTGGCTTACAATTTATAGCTTCAATGCTTGGAAATATTTTTGAAAGGAATCCAATTTTACAGTGCAGCCCACACACCATGGCCGTGATTCCCATATAACTACGATGTGCGGATAGAGAATCGGGTATGCCACAGCAAATGATTCAGTTTGACTTAATTGATACACAAATTCCACATTTTTAAACGACTTAATTGATACACAAATTCCACATTTTTAAACAGATGAAGGTCAAACTTTTTTTTTCCATGAATGTTTTCACGCTGATTCGAATCTGCCCTAATTTTTTTCCCTGTAGCGCATGAGGTTTTTGTCGTCATAATACGACAATAATGTGTAATCAAGTAATATTTACGAATTACCAGCAGGTGGATTTTTTTTCTGAAATGTTATAAATTACAATGCTTCATCAAATCTATGGCATAAGCTTTTATAGGTCAAACGTAAATGAAATGAAAATATCAAAAACATCATATGCTAGGAAAAAAAAGTCATTTTTTAAAATTAGTGTCAAAAATATGCTTAGGGACACCTAAATCCGTTTCTGTTTAAATTTTGCTGTTGACCACTGTGATTTCCTCATGTAACTTGATTTATGTATGCCTGTGGCGTGGCATCCATTTTACTTTTACAATAGTAAAAAGGAAGAACAATTACATGCTCTTCCACTAGAGGGCAAAAGACCCAATTAACCTGTGTGGCTTCCTCTTGCCGGTCAGACACAAAAATTAGAGCTTTGTGTTCATCAAGGCAACATTTTACACGAATACTTTTATGAGTAAATTGGTTTGAGACTTGAGACCATTATTTTAGTAGCGCTATATACTGTAATACCTTATGTCATATTTTTGTGTGGTGCTGTGCCATGAAGTTTCTATTAAAATATGTCCCATGGCTCAATAAAAATTGGGAGTTACTGCACTACAATGCACATATATTTGATTAATTAGTCTGTGAAATTGAAGTATTCTAGAGTTTTGTCTAAAGTTAAAAACATTTGTTCACAGGAATACAGTCACTTTTTCAAGCTGATGACTTTAAAGGTGCATTAATACATATTTGTTTTCTGACTAAAGTAGAACGTAAACTTGTACAAAGCAGTCTCTTTTGATCGATGAAACTTGTTTGCTTTGTCACGTTCACAGACCCTGAGCTCTCCGAAAAGCAAGGAGGGGTGTTGTCGCCTTATGGCTAAGGTGTCACAGTATTCGGACGAGAAATACAGTACAGTAACTTGTTCGGTCTTCACCACAAAAATGGTAACAGAATTCAAGTATGAACGAGCGTGTATGTGCAATCATTTATCACTAACCAAAAAAGTATCACTCAATTCACGAGCTCAGATATGTGGACGTCGCAGTTCCCGGTTCTTGCTGCAAAACAGGAATTTCCGAGCTGACTTGAATCTGACGCGTATCAGCCGGGTAATTAGCGAAGACGTCAGGTGAATGCTAAACATGGAGAAGTCATTCCCTGTCAATTAAAAGTTTTTTTAAACAGTCAGTCATGGCGAAGCAGTACGATATTTTGTTCCGGATTCTCCTTCTCGGGGATTCGGGGGTCGGCAAGACGTGTATGCTGCGCCGCTTCACGGACAGGGAGTTCGATACAGGACATATCTCCACCATCGGTAAGAAATAAGAATACAATAAGCCATCCGAGACGTTTGACGTCGCTTCTTGTAACTCGCGGATCCCGAGCCTACACGAATTTTAGACACTCATTTGTGAACTCTGAATGTGAACTGCCATTACGCGTTTAAAGTATTTTTTTCACGTGAAGCTATGTTTACTTTTTGTGTAGTGGGGAAAAGTAGCTTTACTTGTTGGCCCGGCAGGTTTGGTCGTGACCGCCCCCGGGTGTGTGCGCGCGCACGCGCGAGAGAGCTATTTTCAAGTTTCCTTATGGATAGATTAAGAATTAACTGTCAATTAGCAGCATAGTGACATTTTTTTCCTCTCCGGTTTTACATGTAATCCTATTATGTGTCGGAGAGGGGAAGAATATGTGAGAAGGTGTGTTTGGCGAGATGTTTGAATAGTCAAAACTTTTGTCATTACAGTAAAAGTGTGGATGAGAAACCTAGTCGGATTTCTAAAGATAAGACTTGTGCTAAATTATTTTATAACTCCTTCTGTGGCATGCCTTTTTAAAGTGCTTAATAGATAAGCTGTGTTTGAGAGAGACCGAGTCGTGCGGTATGTATGTGAATAACGGGCTCTTTGGTACAAGAGATGGATTAGTGATTTAGTGGTTGACAGAAAACTAATACAGTATTTACATTTTTGTGTGGAGTTTGGTTGTAAATACAGTACAACATAAAAGTAAGTGAAATATATCCTTCACTATTAAGAAATGATACACTGAACAAACAAGTGCTTATTGTGCTTTCACTTTAAGTGAGAAGGGAGGAAGTCTCCTTCCAAAATAACATGTCTTATTCAGATGTTTTTCTTTAGTCTGTTTTCCACTTATTTTTTGATTCATTTTTTTTTCACCATCCCCCCCCCCAAAAAAAAACAATCCAGGGAAACTTGCCTTTTTTCCACGTTAATGAGGTTAAGGCAGTTTGCAAGAGGCGCGTGTGTTGTGTTTGTGTGTAAGCGGAACTTCCGGCTGCACACACAACAGCTTAGACTTTGCATTTTTTTCGACACTCCAATACTGCAAATCATATATACATATAAAATCATCATAAATGTGGTGCCACGTTCATCAGAAGTGTGGCCAGAAGCTGTGAGAGCTTGATTGGAAGATGTGTGGGTGTGTGCGTGGGTTTATGTATATGTATATTAGCGGAACTTCCTGCTGGCACATGACAGCTTTCTATTTGCTGCTACGGGAGGAGACATCGTGTTTACATTTGACTCATCTGGGTCTAAAAAGGTGCTCCAAAGCTTCCCTGTGTCCATGTTTCAGCTTCCATTCAAAGACACAATGATAGGCCTGCGATTGGCTGGCAACCAGTTCAGGGTGTCCCCCACCTATTGCCCGAAGACAGCTGGGATAGGCTCCAGCACACCCATGACCCTTGTGAGCACATATTAGAAAATGGATGGATGGACAATGATAGGCAGAACCTTACTTTTCAAGTTCTTAAGTGTAATTATTCAGTTCACCCTGGTGGTAAGCAATGACGATTAATCAAATGTGACAGCGATTCCAATATCAGTCAAATATGCTGCGTGCAAAGGCAGATGAAATGACGAACTTGTTCTCGCTCTGTTGACATACTGTAATCCAAAAAGGGAATTACACACGTCTGTCGTTCCCATGGCTTCTATAAAGAAACGTTGTACTTTGGAAGCTGGTTGGCAACTAATCACATCAAGGATTTTATTAGTGCAAGGGGTGGTGGGAAAGCAAGTGTTTTTACAAATTATTACAAAAAAAAAAAAAAAACACACAAATGAATGGTGTTTAATCCTAATGAAATTGCTGAAAATTATTTCCAAGTAGGATCTTTTTTTTTTCGTACAAACGAGTATACAGTAACTGGCTTTAGTTCAAACAACTGCTACTTTGTACACGCACAGAGCAACAGCACGCACAACCAGAGAATACAGCAATACTCACAGGCATATGTTCTTCCAGCTCTGTGGAACAACAAATATTAAACTATATTAAAAGTGATTTTTTTAAAATGACACTAAAATTCAACGATACAGGGGGGCAGGGCCACGATATATTGGGGGGAGGGGGGGGGGCACAGCACTAAAAAGAGTGACCGGTGAGAGTTGAGGTGTTGTCTGATGTTTTTGATTTTTGATGCTATTTTTGTTACATTTACTCTTGATTTTTTTTCCCTCCGTGGTGCCATCACCCAGCAGAAAATACAGTTGTTGTCTCCTTGTAAAGTCGCAATGATTTAAACAAAGGCTCTTATAAAAGTGTCTCAGAGCACCCATAAAATGCTTGCAAACTCAGTCGTGCATGTGCAATTGAAACCAGGATCTCTTCCTCGGTTAGCCAGAATGAGTTTTGCTAACTTTGGTCATCTGTGTTGACTGATTTATATAAAATGTTCTTTTTTAGGTGTGGACTTTAAAATGAAAACTCTAGAGATCGATGGAATTAAGGTGCGGGTGCAAATATGGTGAGTAGTTTTATTTCTTTCATAATTGACTTATTCATTTTGTTTGCCCGCCTGTGTGATCCTCTCTGGTTGTTTTCAGGGACACCGCCGGCCAGGAACGCTATCAGACTATTACGAAACAGTACTACAGGCGTGCACAGGTGACTTTGCCAAACTGATGTGAATTGTTAATATTGATTCTTCCAAAGGCAAAATTTACTGACTCACCTACCTGTTTTTTAGGAACGAAACATATACCTCGTATTTAATGAACACTTGGCCCACGATGCTACTTTATTTTAATGTTGTGCAGGATGGTGGTACTTGGTGTAAAACATTTTAAGACACAGTTTCCTCCAAAAAAAATTATGGAGAGATTTTGTTTGTATACATCTCTGAAATTAACGTTATTCTCATTTTTTTCTCAAGCTGCTGCACCTCCCCAGAAGTTCTGTGGCACTCCACACACATAACCGATTTCTACAAAAATTTATAAGCATTGTCAAATAGTTTGTTCCATTTCTCTTGATTTCGAAGCGAATATTGCATGAAGGCAGTGGTTTTAACTGTACCTAGCCATTAGCCTGACCATACAAAATGAAGTTTCGGGATGTAAGCCGACCAAGATCCTTTTTTTGTGGAGATCCGGTATTTTATTTTTTTCACTTAACATTCAGGAATTAGTTGTTGACATTTTTCTTCATGTCTTAGTGACTCATACGTGAATATATTGATGACAAAATTCAGACATACTTGCTTTTACTCCCAGGGTATCGTCTTTGTTTATGACATCACAAGCGAGTCCTCCTTTCAGCACATCGTCAAGTGGGCCACCGACGTTGACGAGGTAAGCCAAGCCAATATGAATCACATGTTGTAAATAGAGCGCAAATGACACCTCTCTTCTTCCTTTGTGGTGTTGTCGCATAGTACGCACCGGAAAAGGTGCAGAGGATTTTGGTAGGAAACAAATCGGACGAAGAGCCCAGGAGGCGAGTGACGAGAGAAGAAGGAAGCAAGGTTGGACTCAACTTTTTCTTTATTGACACTTTTTTTTGAAAATACTTCATTATTTTAATTTAGTACAGTCGAACCTTGTTACAACGTACCTCAAGCGACGAATACGTACGTTATAACGGTAGTTCATTGTGACCATTTCCATTAAAATGGCCGACAATTACGATGTATAATCCAGTATGAACATTTAGAGATGTAAAAACATGAACATGTAATCCAGTATAAACATGTCGATTATAAATACGTGTATACTGTATGAACAAAAAATGATTTTACAAGACGCGAAACAAACAACTGTTGCTCAAGGTCACAAGAGAGACGACATTGGAGGGCAGGGGAGATGGAAGGGAGAAATGGGACTGTAAACTAAACCCGGTTAGCGTTGTTGTGGCGTGGTTTCAGCCAACGGTAATCCTTTTGTTTTCATTTAAGAATTTTTTGCGAGCTCGCCGCTTGGCCTGATTCATTCTGCAACGGTACAATGCCTGGCACATAGTGAGATGTGAGTGTTGCCACCTGAACATTCCCCTGTGACAACACTGACAAACCTATGACCTGTTCTAACACGAATCCGAGAATTCTGATTTGCCGTTAGGTTTTAAATGGCCAACTTGCTTCTCAATTTGAGTCATTATTGATTTGCGTACACAGCACAGTGACTATTGCTCTTATACTGCAAGGGAAGCTCAGCTCCCCCTAAAATGCCTTCCGCGGCCCATAAAAGTGGTGAAATATGTGCTGCTGTCAATACATTTAATTGACTAAATATTTGCCAGAATACCTTCATCTTTTGTTCCGAATCAAAATGGGTTCCATGTTCCCAAATTTTCTAAATATTTGCCAGAATACCTTCATCTTTTGTTCCATGTTCACAAATTTAGAGTGAACATGTTAACATTCGCATTGAGCTCTCAGATTTGGTGTTCGCAGTAGACTACTGTACTATGCGAATGTATTATTATATTTGATGTTTTAATCACGTAAAAGAAATGCTTTCTATGCAAGTGTGACTTAAAATATCAAACTCAATGTTGCAGCTGGCAGAAAGGTACGGAATGGACTTCTTTGAGACCAGTGCGTCCACAAGCCACAACATCGACAAGGTAAGTACATCACCAACATCAAAAGTAAAGTGGGAGGTGTGCACACGTACATATCCTCTAGGTATTCATATTATTTGTCTTTCAGTCATTCAGTCGAGTGACAGAACTGGTGCTGCAGGCTCACAAGAGAGACGTGGACAACCTGCTGGGATCTCTGGATGATTATTTAAACAAGGCCGGCCTGGACGAGAGTGGCCAAGATAAAGTCGGCAGCATTCAAAGAGTCTGTGGCTGTGCCAGAATCTTTTAAAACAGCATTTTCCTCCTCCCTAATTGATTTTTTTTTTCTTTTTGTCGACCTGCTTGTTTTGTTGGTGACTGTATAGGCGAGTGCATTTTTAGCACCATCTGCCAACAGAAGGCAGTAACATACAACATCTACTTTCCCCACTTCTAATCCTGTTGCTTTCTAATCTTATTTATAGATTGTTAATTTATAATGCATTGCTGGGGTGTAAAGTGGGAGGAAAGCGATGAATTATTTAAACCTCGAAACTTGAGGCTTCACTCGTTTACAGATGCAGTCAATGTGATACCGCTCTTTGTTTGTTCTCTTTCTGAATGCGGTACAGTGAACCACTGCTAATCGCAGAGACAAGGACCGAGCCCTGCCACAAATAGTGAAAATATGTGAGTAGTTGATGCCCTACCCGACGTAGTTGATGCCCTACCCGACAAGGTTTGGCATTGCTTACTGATTTGCCATAAGAAGTGTGCAAATCTTTTTTTTTGTTTTGTCAGACAAGGCTGTGGCCATACTAAATGAAGCTGTTCCCCTTCAGTTTGACATAGTTTCTTGTCAACAACATACCGCAAGATTGGAACAGTAGCGATATTTTTGTATTTAACATGGCTTTGGCTTGAGCACAAAAACAGCGTTTCACAGCGAATAATAGAGGATGAGTTAAAAAAAAAATCTGAAACTAGTTGAGTTTCTGAATGCCAAATCACAAATATGCAGAGGTTCACTGTACTTCTTATTTAACGTGACAGTGGCCGGCATTGCACTTAACTGACTATTCAAAGTCTCATGTGCTTTTTCTACGGATGCCATTTTAACTTAATGTTTGTTTTTAAAAAGTGCCTTGAAAACATTCAAGAATGAAATAAATGTTTGTCAAGTAATCCACCTTTCATCACTGAATTGAAATAGAGAGTGAGTTTGGGTTTCACCGGGGGTTCATTTTTCATCACGTGTGGTAAAAGACTCTTGGAGATGTTAATTGTTTCATGGCTGATGTGGTTGCCTCTTAATTCGTCTTTTATACTCTTTTGAAAATGAACGTTCCATACTACTGTAGTCCTGCATCACTTAAACAAGAAAAAAACAACCTTAAAATTATGTTTTAAAAGTCTTTTCACAGTTTTATGCACCCACTTGATAAGTGTATTGAATTTCTGGTGTGGATCAGTTTTCCCGCTCCGTCATCTGATCGCAGCGCCTCCAGTGAGTCAGGTAACCACTGGCCTGTCTTATCAGATGCCCCGACTTCCCTTCAGCGCAAAGGCTCTCCTGTTCTGCTAAGGATGGCATTCATCGCCAAGACCTTCTACGACCTGAAGGCCACCACACTGGATGGCGATCTGGTGGACTTCAACGTGTACCGTGGGCGGGTGGTGCTGATAGAGAATGTGGCGTCGCTCTGAGGCACCACCGGCCAGGACTTCAGTCAGCTCAAGGAGCTCCAGGGCAAGTACCCTCATCGACTGGTGGTCCTGGCCTTCCCCTGTAACCAGTTTGGGTATCAGGTTAGTTGAGAAGCAATGTATTTCAACTGGAAGAGATAAGAGTAAACATCCCGGTTCTGGGATAGGCAAATTAATTTTTGTACAAATTGAATTTATAACTCCATTTCGTTCTTCCTCACCTTTAGTTTTGTGTTTTTTCACTGCCTGCCACTAAACCCAATAGGGCAAGCTTTTCGCTTACAAAAGAATAAAATGAAGGTAGCAAGACCCAAATGATTTGCCACATCTGACAGTAACCCAAGTAAATCATTCTCTTCTTCCAGGAGAATTGCAGCAATGGTGAGATCCTAAATTCCCTACAACATGTACGTCCAGGTGGTGGATTCCAGCCCAATTTCCCCATCTTTGAGAAGTGCGATGTCAATGGAGCTAACGCACATCCCGTCTTCGCCTATCTCAAAGAGAAACTCCCCTATCCCGACGACGACCCCAACTCCCTCATGCAAGACCCCAAATTCCTGGTTTGGAGCCCCATCAGCAGGACCGATGTTTCTTGGAACTTTGAGAAATTCCTCATAGCACCTGAAGGAGAGCCGTTTAAAAGATACAGCAGGAAGTTCCCCACGATTGACATAGAGCCTGACATTCAACGCTTGCTAAAATTAACCAAATCTTAACAATGGAGACTTTTAACACCCCGTTTAAGTCTTATTTAATGAAGGTGATATTATGAAACTCAAAAGAGATATCATCTGAAGCTTTGTAAGCACTTAAATGAAATGGTCAATTTTACGTTATTGTCAATTCGACCTGGTGTCGTCGAGTTTGGACGGAAGTCAGAATGTCCCGTTGTCCATCACCCACAGACACCAACGGAGAAGGTCAGAATAATAGTAAAAGGAAATATTTGGATGAAAAACACTAGACTATAAAACAAATAACCAAATGAAAAATTGAACTTTTAATATTACAACTTTGGTCAAGTAAGATTCCTCTTTATTTCTTGATTTCTCTTTTTAAATCACTATAATATTTCTTTAAAATGAACAAAGTTTGTTTGACTTTTTAAAATATAATTTACTATCTCAGAATACGAAATTTTCACAAAAACCTATTTTCTTCTAAGATATTGGCTTTATTAAAATAAAAAATTCATATTCTGCCCTATTATTACTTTTTTTTTTCTTTTTTGTGACAAAGCGTCTTTCTTGCTATGTTACCTTATTACATTATAAATTCTTGTGCAGTTACTGGTAACACTACGGCTGTAATCATTTAAGATTAAATAATTTTCTCCAAAAAGGACAAAGATTGCGATTTATGGTGTGAACATTACTGACGAGCCGTTCGTAATCTTGAGATGCCGTAAATCTGTTTTGTCGTAAAGAGTGGACATCCTGTGTTTGGACACGTCGATAATTTATCTAGTGTTTCCCTTTTTCTGCCCAGCAGATGGTGCTCTAGACTTGACTTTAAAAAAATTAACATTCTCCGCACATATACCTTACAAAATAATTGCCGATAGGAATAACCCCTATAACGTCTATTTCACAACGATTTAACATTCTTTTATTTTATGATGCATGCTGACATAGAACGAACTGGTGTTAAAAATTAGGTACACTGACAGCCATCCAAAAAAGACATGGAAAATTTACTGAAATGATGATCTAATCTAGTGGTTGGCAGGTTGGCCTCACAGTCTTGAGCTTCTGGGTTTGAGTCTCTGTGGTATGTATATCGCCATTAGCAATAAAGTTGGGTAAAACGTGAATAATTACGCAAACACAATGACCTCTTAAATAAACCTACAGTGTATTATATAGTCGAGCATGCTTACCACTGTGGAACATCGCCTTCAGCCCATTTATTGTCATAATCCACAATTCAGAGAGCAGCATGGGCAAATCACACGTGGTTGTCTTTGGAGCAGAATCCCTGGCAGCCACAGGGACAGGCAAACAAAACATTCTGAGTCAGAACTCGTGGTTGGATGCATAAGGCTGGTGAGAAACAGGAAGAGGTAAACGTAATATGCCAGAACTAGGTGGAAGGCGGGCACAACATCCATTTTGCATGGATGAGTGTCAGTCAATCTGACACTGACTGAGTCATCCATAAAGCTTTGAATAAGTGGGTTTGGCTGACTGGCAGAGGTGGACATGGCTGGCAGACTGTGACATATACTGGAGTGGTAAATCTAAATTCAATTTTAGTTGGCATGGGTGAAATTTGTCTTGGAACAGTATACAAAAAAATTACATTGCCATTTCTGTTTTAATTTTTTATTGGCACGTCGCCGGCCATGTCTTCTGTCTCTGGTTGTTTTTCCTCAGGCATGGACATTTCTTGCAATTAAAAATGAAGGCAGAAGGCGGGATTTGGAAATTTGTGGACTTCCACTTTTAAACCGTATTGACTTTTTGTGACATTTTATTAGTGTTGTGCCGTTTATTTCCAAAATAAAATGTGTGCCTTGCAAGGTTATTACAGTTAACAAAAACAAACAAAATAACTCAAACTAAAAGTGAAAAGAAACATGTTAGTGAAATAAAATTTGAACAAAAACTCTAAAAGGAAATCTATTTTACGTTTATAAAACTAACCAAAACTAATTTCATTTTTTGTTTAAACGTTCTTTGTTATCATACATGGGGTTCATTTTAAATGTATTTATTCCGGTATTGCTAGGAAAGTCAAACAGTTGTTTGAGAATTGTCGTTTACTTTATTTCACAATTCTTGGTGACCTTTTTTAATCTTGCACTAAACACTCTACGTGTTGTACTAAAACTAACACTAAAACGAATAAGGTCTCACCTAAAATGAAGCAATGCATATTGATTATCAAGAGGACCGCAGACAATCAAACTTGAATTTTCGGTTAAGTTTGTTTCTTTCCTTTCTCCAACAACACGCACACGGTCGCGCGCTCGCGTTAGTACAAACGCGAGCACTCCAGGTGAGCCCCTGTTGCCACGGGAACGTTTCGCTTTGCGCCGCCTCTCGCGAGACTTGAGCGGACAGCAGGCGATAGGCAGGAGAGAGGCACGGCGAATGAGCTCATCCCTCCAGCAGCTGCATAGCGCAGCGAGGCAAAGCCGCAACTTTTTTTTTTCCTATCAAACTTCTAAGTTGCTCCTCGGCCGAGATTAAAAAAAACCCTAGCTGACCTGCCACGTTTGAAGGTTAAAAAAATACAGCGAGAGGAAGTGGACGAAAGAGGTCGCGTGTTGCTGCTTCATGTCAAGGACTTGTGGGAGCCAAATTGAACAAAAGGAAAAGCTTCGTATTGGTTTTACAGGCACAAGAAGAAGGAGAGAGAAAAGCCCCCCGCCCGGAAAGGAGAGAAGGTGAGTTGGGGGTGGGGAAAATTGGTGCATTTTGGTGGTCGCACTCACGTACACGTCTGGCGCCGACACCGCGGAGAACGACGCGAATAAGGTGCAGTGATGAGTCAGTGTGGAAAACCTACCCGCGATTCCCTGAATTTTTAACTCTAAAGATGTTTGGTCGGGAAGCAACGTCACTCGATCGCCACCGTTGTTGTCAAAAATCCGCATTGTCCCCAGCGATGCTCGCGGAGCCCATTCACAGGTGGTTCCATGAACGTTACATGGCTGCAGCTTGACTCGTGTGTGTCAGTTTCCATGCCATTTCCATAACATCTGTATTTTCCAGACAGCAATGCTCGGGTATCAAAGTGACACATCCTAGTTATGATTGTGAAAATCATACAAATGTGGAGTCACCTCATCATATTTTCATGTTCCACATATATGTGGGTGGGTATACTATGTGTCACTGTTTACTTAAAACTCAAGGGTCGTAAAAGCTGCACAGTTAAAATGAAGGATATTTCAACAAAAAAAAAAATGGAATCTGAAATTCAACATAATAGCAAGCTGGGACAACCAAACAGTTAACATTCAGCTAGTGTATGGTTCATCTTATGTTAGGAGGGAATTTGGTTGGAAAATGCTTGATAAGGATTTAAATGGCTTTAAAATGGCAGGTTTTTGGAACCGATCAGCAAGTTTAAAAAAATGAAAACCGATTGCTGGACCAATCCATCTTTTTAAAGGCCTTGTTTATTTACTGTACAGTCAACTACCTATTCGTTTTATTGGTTTGCAAATTATTACATTGCAACCAATCACTGGTTTGGGATAAAATGCGATGCAATACTTTAAAGTGAAAAACATTGCAATTTTGCTCCAGATTTTCAGCTAAAATGAAAAGAGCCTCTCAAGAAACATGGTCAGAGACACTTTATTTGCTTTAGGGGGCCACAAAAAAACAATACGGTGAGCTGGTTTGACACTTGCTCACGAAGGCGTCTTGTGCCATATGAGTTATTTTCTAAACATGCCTGCTTGATTGCGCTTGTGAATGCTGTGTAAGATGGTTGACATGTATTTTTTTTTTGTGTGTTATTCTCTAAAAATGTATTTTGCTCCTTTTTTAATCGTCCCCTGTTATGAGTGAAAAGGCCCTTCTTGATGAATAAGTCGGCAGTGCTCATGTCTGACAGAGCTGCAAAGATGTGGCAATGTAGCGCCACATAGCAAACATAGCTTTTGTTCAGGTAGTTGGAACTATGCCACTGTGACAACCTGTCGGTCCCCCAATGCTTGAAAGCACTTTTTTTTTAATATCTTATGTAACCCAGCCCTCTTAAAAAAAAAAAAAACAATTTCCCCTCGTCTACTTGAATCGCAGTGTCTGTGACAGTGGAGCAAGGAAGAGGGGCAACTTTAAGTTCAGCTCTAGACAAGGATCAAGCATTTTTGGCATTCTTTTGAAGGCTTAGCTTGAGCCACAGTGGCTTGATTTATTACACTGCCATCTTCACTTGTGACTCTAATCTCCGCTTTATCTGCTTTAATTTTAACCGTTCATTCACACGGCATTTTTCTTACTTTCTTTTTTTTTTTTGCTTGATTTATATGGGCTTCTCGTGGAACCATAAACAGCTGTTGCGTATCACCGCAGAGGAAAGTATGTATTATTTAATATTCCACAGGGCTTTGCTTGCCAGTCAAGGTTAGGAAAATACAGCATTGTTCCGGCTGGTAAGATCATGTTGAGACTTGTCTGCAGCCACAGCAATAGGACTCCAGAGAGACTTGATCAAGAAAATTCCAGCAGAGATTTAAAGACGCCCTGCTACCTGTAGATGAGAATTTACGAGCCAAAGACCAAAAAAACTGCTGTGTGAGTCGGCTATACGTTCACCAACATTTTTGGGGGAAAATATGCCTCGAAAATCAGTTGAGCCATCATTGTGTGTTACTTGAGACTTAAATGCAGTGCATTTGCAGTTCTAAACCTGCAAGCAAGATTTGAATGTAGCCTGCCTCACTTCACGAGCCCCCCCTACTCCCCTTTGAGTCTCTGAGCAAAACTACGCCCCTCACTTACATGCAGGAGACGTACATTGTACATGGCGTGCACTCTAAACCAACTGACGTACGCCTCAGCTTCGACAGTGTTAGCATGACTTCTTGTTCTGAAGTGTTACTAGTGCTCTAAATACCAAGTCTTCTCGTTTTGAAGTTCTATTTTGTGTTCAAGGGACCAGCCGATAAATAGCTGGCCGATTTAATTGGCTGATCTGAGCTCATTTCAAAGCTCATGTTCATCCCTAACAAAGATAATTTAATTCGAACATTTCCCCACCCCAAAAATGAAGAAAAAAAAATCTCAGTTGTGAATTTAAACAAGGATAAAGTATTGTAAAACAGTCAAATGTTCTGCCTGTAAATGATCTTTATTGTTGTAAGCGTTAAGGGACCTAAAAGGAGTTAGTTTATTCATTAGGTGTTTTTTTAATTATTCGGCCAATTAATCAATTATCAGACTTTTATTAGGTCAAATATCAGCATGGCCCAGAAAAAAAAATCAAATTGCTCAGGCCCTATTTTGGAATCTCTAATCAATTAAAATTT